CAATGAGTATAGTGGGCTCTCTCCAGAGCATGCCAACACCATTCATCCCCAGATGTGTCCCCTCTTAGTTGTAATGGTCCCCACAACACCTGCAACCAGGGGAGCAATGGGCAGTGGCAGTTCATCCCAGGCTTATTCCCTCAACCATTCTCCAAAGTTCCCTTTTCTCTGACTTTTTCGTAAGTCAAAGCAGCCCTGCCCAGGCTCCCTGTTGTTTCTTCTTCTATCCTAGCTCTTCTTTGTTTCATTGTCTCCAGCTTTAATAAATGTAATCTCAAAATCAAAAGATAAAATAAAATTAAAATGATTATATTCATATATGCCTCAAAGACATGTGTTTCATGCACCATGTGCCACAATTTCTGCTTCAGATAGTTTATCTAAAACAGCACCCCTAGAATTTGAAGCAAAAGAAAATTGCCAATCTGGGATTCCTAGACAGGAAAACAGGAATTCTGACACTGATGCCATTGCTCAAGAACCCACAACTCACTCCCTAGTTGATGCAAGTAAGAATTTTCCTTCTATGTTATCTGACAAAACATCTGTGGGGAAAAGCACCATAAATGGTGGTGATGACAACGCAGTTCTCTCTGATGGCCTTGACTTATGAAATGAAATAATTGAATATTCCCTTTTTGAAAACACAAAACCCATCATTGACAGCAGGACATTCACAGCTGATACTACTAATTATGCTGTAAAAACAGTGCTAATTTCACCAGGAAAAATACATCACTTGACATTTATAAGACATTTACAGGAGAGTAGATGCTACCACATCTAGTGTATCTGATTTTACTGAAGATGAAACATAAATAGCTTCAGTAATTCTTGTTTAGCTCAGCTTTCCAGTGATGACATCACCAATGAGAAAGAAAACACAGAAAGTGCAACCACATACTCTTACTTTCTTTTAATCTTTGAAAAAGATGTCTGCCAATATGCCAAATGTTCCCGCTATCTCCACTAAGAACAAAAATAACATTGGCCGTGATAGCCTTCCATCATCAGAGAGTGTTGTCTCTAAGACTTACATCTATGGAACTACTTCAAACTCTCATCCTAACTTCTAATTCTTGTGGTAAAGAAACTGCAGCCTCAGACCTGGAAAAGGTACAATCTTGTATTACCCAACAGTATTAATATTAGCAGCATCAAAGCCTGTGTATCAGACTCACCTTACTTAAACGAAGGTGTGTCAAGGGCAAAATACTAAAAGTTGAAAGGGCCCAAAGGCTCTCTTAGGTGATACTGTTTTTCCAGCTGATTCTACTAGTTCTTTGGACAGTATGGCCAATGTCAAACCTGAAACACCTGCTGCAGTTGTCACCAAGAACTAATTTTTTTAAATATTAGTGACTCTTGTAATAAAAATTTAGAACCCAAGAAAAGAGCCACAAAATTTTCTACCATTTTTCCCAATGAATATAGTAAACCAAATTTGTGTTATAAAAAGGAAATAACTAAAGCTTCTGCAGTGAAGGCATAGCCACTGAATTGAAATGGATCACCTTATAGGTGTAAGTATGATAATAGAAAATGTTATTTAGGTAGAAACAAACTCTCCAAAACATGTTGTCCTAAAGCCTTATCTTGTGAATAGACACATCATTGCTGAAAATAAATCAATCAATAAGGATTATGACAATGTCATGTAGCAGCTTATTCAACCTTTCACATACCCAAGGATTCCCTCCCAGATGGATATATTCAGCCACTTTATGGCTGAAAACTCAAATTTGCTCCCAGACAAGTCTGATTTGTACTGATAAAAATATCTTCATCTGGCATGGAGATCATTTCCATAGTAGAAGGAAATTCCCAGTTGGAATTTAATGTCGCCAAACTCAGAGTAACAGATACTGAATTTCAAACTTCAGAAAATACAAATGTTACACATGAATACATTGTTGAGATAGAAAAAAAAACATATTACCTAGGTTTCAAGAAATTTATACTGTACCACAAGTTAATAAGGAGATTGAAGTAAACACATTATTTAGGGCTGGTATTTCTCAGTCACAAATAGAAAGTTACTCCACAGGATATCCCTGAGAAGCCTACCAACAACAAAACAGATATGAGGGTCATAACTGACCCTGCTATAAATGCCATTTTCCTGAAATCAAAAAATACTGACCCCAAAGACCAACACATCCTTCAATTACAATTTCCTTACTCATGTACCCAACATCCCAGTCACTGAAGGGGGAAAGGACGAAAATGTGGACATGGATAAGCCAAAGCTCAAAACATAATTGCTTTTCTCTTTTTTTATTTTTTTTATTTTTTTGGTGTTTCTAAAGGTGGAAATTCTTCTGTGAATGAAGATATTGAATCTGAAACTTCCTCAGCAATTACATTCCAGTCATGTTTATAATCACTTTAATGAAGGTTAATAACTCTGTTTTCTCAAATAAATTCACAAAATTCAAAGCTACATAGAATACTTTTTAATCTTCACCTGAGGATGTGTTTATTGATTTTCGTGAGAGGGTGGATGGGGGGAGAGAGAGAGAGAGAGACATCAATGTGAAAGAAACATCTATTGGTTGCCTCCCACAGGCACCCCAACCAGAGATCAAAACTTAGGTATATGCCCTGACCAGGGATCAAACCCACCACCTTTTGGTGCATAAAATGATACTCCAATCAACTGAGCTACCTGGTCAGCACTAGACTCTTTCTAAAATAAGAATTCTAGTGTCTATAAGAGACACTACATTTCAGTTGATTCTTTTAAAATTGTACATAACAATAGAAGAAACTGCTATTCAAATAATATGAAACTTATCTATAGAATCTGATCACCTGTCCTTAAGTGAGATAACATCTTTGATGCCAATGACCTGTTGGTCCCTGCTAAAATTCCAACAGTCCCATCAGGATTTTCACCATATGCTCCCTGCTCTTTGATGGATGGCACACACTCAACCTACAGTGTCTTTTTTGAGGTAGATGATCTTAAAACATGGGTGGTGGGCACACACAGATCTCTTATCATAAAAAGGTAAACTTGAAATTTATATGATCCTACTAACAAATGTCACCTCAATAAATTTAAAAAATAAATAAAAATAAAAAGACTTGGCACTTAAAATATTATAAATAGATAAATAATAAATTTATTTAATGAATAACATAGATAATGTTAATAATATTCCCCACTGGAGAGAGAAGCCTATTTTGCTACAATGCGTGATTCCACCTCACAGCTCTATTAATATAAGCAGAGTTGGTGTGACTACCAAAGTAATTCCTGAAATTAAATACTACTTGACAAACTAGTATCTCTGAAGATATTATCATTTCAAGTGACATGTCTAATGGGGAATTAAATGCTCAAAAAAATGAATATTTTGTTCCTTATTCTAACTCTATTCAACATAAATGCCAACTAGTCCGGGATAACTTTCAGAAGCTATAAAGCGAACACCTGCAACTTTTCTCCCCCGTTTGTATACAGAAAAATATTCCTCCTAAAGGGAGACCAAGACTCCTTTTATCATGTCTTATCCTTAATTATGCTTTACAATCACTAAATGGTGAAAAGAAGTAGAAATTTAAAAAATCTGCCATTAAGTTAATCAATCCAGATAATGTCTTGACTTTGCCATTGTCTTTACTGTCACTGGAACTGACAGTATTTCTATTTAGAAACAAAGACCCTGTGCCTATCACAAACTTCAGACACCCTTCCTCATTCCCAATGCTGGCATCATTCCCTCTAGCAAATAAAAACACTGGGCCCTTCAATAGAAACATCCTTTGAAGCAAAAACACTTCTGGAGAAGCTGCCCATATGTTTAAAGTAAAAAGTCTATCTTAAAATCTATCTGATATTTCTACAGAGAGTGGTAATATAATGATAGGTGACCACATAACTAAAAGAAGATACTGCACATTTTGAGGCTGAGTCCAAATCTAAGAAAAATAGGCACTTGTCTCTGAGATGAATCTACTACTCTGGCTGATGCTGCTGTCATTTTTCAGATTTAGCTGTGCCCAAGTCTGAAAATCCTCTCTTCTAATGACATTGGGAAAAAAATTGACACTAGGCTACAATCTCCATTTATCAATTAGCTACACTTTAAGGATGATAGTTAAAATGATGGTGACTGACATCATTAGAGAAACCCTCCCTCTGAAACTGAGGACATAACCCCCAAGGCTAATACGCTTATTCCACCCTGATCTGTTTCTGGGTGATTTCTGGCATACAATGCCAACCCCCTGCCAGGAAAATCTCTTGGGGTTGAAATACACTAAAAACATTCTTAAAGAAATTAAAACTACAAAACCTGACATTCTCACTGCACTTCAAGTTAATTCAAGAAAAAGTAAGGATTACAATGAAGAACAAAACTGCAAAGACCTTAATAGGCCAGTAATTTATTTTTTATTATCCCTACTGGAAAAGTGAGAATTTCCTCTCTAAAGAAACAAGCTGAAATCTCATTACCTACTTACCTCTGCCATTCTGTTCACTGACAAAAAAATGTCATTAATTTTTTTAGACATTTAAGTACATGAATCACAAGAGAAGATGCTTTACCTTGATAAGGCCCTGTTACTCAAAATAAACGCAATTTGAAGCTGATGCTAATAATCTTGTGTCTCCCACAGTTTTCCCCATTTGATGCTAAACCCACAAAGTATTGTGTCTGGCAGACTCTGCTATGTCTGTTTCCAGGAACGGTAGCTCCATATTGGAAGGTACACCACTCCTAACATGGGAACTGCTAGTTCTTTGCTATTAAAATATTGGGCTGTGAATGTTGATTCCATAAACAGAAAGGACTCCATTGTCTTTTTATCTAATATCAAGACCAGATGCCTAATCGGAGCATAAAATCAACCTCCAAGGGAAGCCAGCGTCATTGGCCCTGTAGCTGATGTAACAATCATTATGATGACAACTGCTTCAGTCACTGTAATGAATACCACTCTCCTGCCTGGAGACAGCACTGGGCCCAGAGAAAGACCTGTGAGTGTGCATGGTGCCAATTTGTCCCATGGCTGAAGATGGTTTGCCAAAAATTTATTCTCATCCTCCAACAGAAAGCAGTAAAACAACTGAAGCAACCATTCTCTTTGAGACTGACAACACTATTCCTAGATCAGAAACAACTATTACTTCAGAAGGAGACCACATTATTTCAGTAAGTGACTATGTGCTAGAAAGTGATTTTTCAAGAACTACAGGCAACAAACTTCCATCTCCAAAGAAAAGACTAAATTCAGAAAGTAACGTAGAGTCCCATATTAAGTCATCATCCCATCTGGAGAAAGAAATTACCTCTCTGACAGGTGCCCCACACTCCATGGCTAATGACTCTATTACTGAAAATTTCATTCCGGCTCAAATTGGTAATTTCTCATCACCTGTCACTTCCGTTTCTTTAATAGATTTTTCCACTGACATGATAAAAGAAGATATTCTCTTGGATATAAATGACCCAGGAGATAAAGATGTGTCAATAACTTCTGAAGTGTCTGGCTCACTAAAGAAAAGCACCGCCAGTGTTACTGACACGCCTGTCCTTTCAGCTAAGAAGGGTGGGCTTGACATTAATAATTGTAGTTCCTCAGTTAAACCCGATGTCACTGCTGATGAGGCTGTCCAGATCACTGACTCCTCTATTCCTGAGACTGAAATTTCTCTCAGTACTGAAGAAAACTTCACCGCTATTCCAGACATAACTGCCCCTACAGAAGAGAGAATCACTGAAGTTGATGTAATTCTTCCAGAAAATGACCCCAATGCTGTGTCTAAACCAACTGACTTTGATGAGGAAAAGCTCATCACTGTGTTTGAACTTGCTACCACTGTCAAAAGAGACAAAGATAATCCAGAAGACATTCTACTAACTGGTGATGAGTCTATGGATGGAGTCAATGTTTGGATGGAGAAAGATTTTACCAATGAAGCAGAGAACCATCCTATTTTGCTTACTGCTGTTGAATCCAGGTATGACTTCGTTATTCCTAAATCAGTAGATATGAACCTCATGAAAGATTCATCTTCTGCAACAAAAGAAGATTTGCCTGAAAATAGTAAAATGGAATCCGTAACTAAGACTACTGAAGCATTTTCCAAAACTACCCCTAATCTAGTCAACTCAAGACAAAAGGAAGACACTCTTACAACTGAAAGGGGTGTCTTTAAACTCCTGAAAGAAGAACGAAATGAGTTCCTGAATTGAAAGCAACAAAAACCATGCCACATAGAATTGTGCAATAGCCTAGACAGCTAGTTTTAATATCTAAGAAGTTTTTCCAGCAAGCAAAAATGTTAATGAAAAGAATATGGGCATTTAAGGCAAGTACTGGACTTAGAAAATACAGATGCTAGAAATAGTGGTCATGCAACAGAACATGTTTAAGGAAACTTATATACCTGGGCAGTACAAGAGATCCCCTAGTCTCACAAAGTTTAATTGAGTTATCCAATAATTATTTTAATATAAAATCTTTAATCCCAGCATTCAAGGATATGAAGAGAGAGCACTAAAGAAAGCTTACTTTCTGCTACATTGAACAATTTATGTCATTTTAGTTAATCCTCAATTGCATAATTTACTATGAGTTAAAGAGATGAAAAGAATTAAATTAATAACATCTCAAAAGTTACTGTAGTATTAAAAGATCTAAAATGGCTATTTATATACAGAATTTTTTATCAGTATATAACCAATAATTCTCATCTATTCAAAAATATAACTGCAATTCTCATTTATATAAGAATTAAGGCTCTTCAGTAATTGTTTTATAACCACATGTGAAAAACATAAATATTGCATGTTTCTAGGGTATGTTGTATGCAAACTAAGGCAAAATTATATTTTATAAATGTGTACATTTGTCAAAAACAATATTGTGTATAAATGTATGAATCAATTTTCTTTCCTTTAATTTCCTTTCTGAATTTTTGTCAATTTTTTTTCAGGTCTTAAGCACTGGTATCATACTCTTATGCTTTGGTTAACAATTCAAGGACATATATCTTCATTCTTTTCTGACGCAGACTTTTGAAATCTGTCTGTTTCACTTTGCTGATTTTCCTTCAATAAATCTTAACAGCAACTGATTTACTGTGTGTAGGTGTGTCTGATATTATGGTACAGAAATTCTCAAATTAGGATGGATGTAAGTAAAATGAAAATCTACTGGTTGTTTAAAGAATAACTTATCTCTAAACACTAGGAATAGAATTTTTCTATAGAGACTCAAAATTTTATTGTATATTAAAAAAGAAAAAACACTAGGTGAATAATAAATGTCACAAATGAGATGTAGGAATATTGGGAGGGATAGAGATTTACATCATTAGGTAGGACTATAGGCCAGGAAAATTGTGGTAGCATATTAAAACACAGAAACACATTTTAACAAAAATTTAGTGTATGGTAAAGTGGACTTCAAAACCATGGGATATGGTGGTTAATTACTCTTGTTTTAATAGTTGAGTATTTGGAGAAAAAAATCAAGCTAGAGTGTTATTTAAAACTATACTCTTAAAAATTTTTATGTGAATCAGAGGCTTAAAAATAAATCCTACAAAAACTTCTAAGGAAACATGTATACTTACCTAAATAGGGTTGAGAAATCTAAACATATAAGAAACTACCAAAAATATTAATAGATTACACATCATGAACAAATTCTGTACAAAAAAATTAATGTAAAATTAACAAGTAAATGATAACTAGGGGAAAATAATTGCATCATACATGGCAGGGAAGTTATCTTTGAGAAAGTGAGATTTAAGCTAATGATTGAAAAATATGGAGATTTGGAGATACAACATGCCCAAAGTCCTGAGGCTAGAAATGGTTCCTGAATCACAAGATAATCCTATCCATAGTTCCACCTGACACAGATACCTCTGTCCAAAGATCTCACCTGTCCTAATGGAACTTAATGCAATGTTCTCAGCCCACACTCTATCCCTTACCCACAGCTACTCCTACCCTGTGACATGAAACTCTCTTATCATAAGGCATTCCTGATGGCAATATGAGAAGGTGAGAGCAAGAGTGAGTGAAGTTTTAAGATGAAAGGACTCCTGACCACAAAGAAAGACAGTGTATGATATTTGGGCATTGCTTAATTCTTCTACCTATTGTATATTAATTGATTCATAAATCATACATGAATTAAACTTTGAGTCTGCAGTCTATTTTCACAACACTATTTGTGTGTTCTTTTGGATTTCTCACGTACACCTCAAAGTGAGAAATTTGAACAGAAGTTTGAAGTGATATTGGCATTTCACTTCCCTCAATTTTCTCCTTTTCTAATATTCTCTATCTTAGCAAAACATACCATCTGCACAGTTGTTCAAGCCAGAAACTGTGATTTTTCACACCTCTCTCTCTTACTCTCTACATCCAAAGAAAACCAAGTTTTTACCTATTGCCTCCATTCCCACTGCCTCTCCTTCATGCCAAGTTTTATCAAGCAAGAGTGACATTTTATAGCAAAAATTGATCATATTACTCCCATCTCCAAACTCAGCATGTTCAGTGACTTTGCATCAGTTTTAGGATAAAGTACAAAATCTTCATGATATTTGTCAGATTCTCCACAACTTGGACACTGCTTATCTATAAAGTCTCATGGTGTGTTTGGTGTTTTTTTTTTAACTCTTAAATCCCAACTATATAGATCATCTTTGGGGTTTTTTGAAGTATCAAGCTGTGTCTTCTCTCAGAATTATTAAACATGCTATATTCTCCCTGAGTCGTTCCCCTAAATTTCACTTCCTCCAACCATGCAGTCCCCTGCATTGTCTGTCCCATCACGATGCCCTGTGGTAAACAATATCTTGCTTTATGTAATACCCATAATGGGGCTGGGGGGGAAGTCTGTTGCTTTAATTTCCTAAGACTGTGTTAACAATTATTACAAACTAGGTGGCTTAAAACAAGAGAAATTTATTCTCTTACAGTTCTGAAGGACACAAGTCTGAAATTAAGATGTCAGCAACGCCATGTACTCTGCAGGTTTGAAGAGGGGATCTTTCCTTGATTCTTTCAACCTTCTAGTGGTTGCTAGCAATCCTTGACATTCACTACAATCTCTGCCTCCCTCATTACATGATGTTCCCTTTGTGTGTCTCTGTGTGGAAAGTTCTCTAAACTTTTAAGATCACCAGTTATTGGATTAGGCCCCTTAATCTACTATGACTTCTTAACTTGAGTACATCTGCAAAGACCCCCATGTCTAAATAAGGGCACATTCACAGTTTCTGAGAGTTAGGACTCCAACATATTTCAGGGAAAGGGAAAAGATATAATCTAACTCATAACATGCGTTGACTCTAAAGTAATGACTCTAAAGTAATGCCTCTAAAACAACAGGAATAAAATATAAGTGTCCATTCTAAGAGAAGGGATCATATTCCCCTTGTCTGCTGCTCAATTCTGAGAGCTTTGAACCCAGTAGGTGCTCAATAAGTGTGCTAAATAAATGAAGTAAATGAAATGGTGAATATTTTATTTATTAGGCTATGAATGTTCTCAGAAGAAGAATGGTACACTGGATACTTAGAGGTCATTATGAGTTCACCGGGACAAGAAGAGAATAACTGGTTTCAAGCATAGGGAAGGGCAGGGGCAAAGATCCAGAGTATAAGGATACTTGGTGTGCTCAAAATATTGAAGTAAGGTTAGAGCACAATGGATCTGAGAGATAATAGTAACAGATATATATAATTGTGACTGACATTATAACCTTACAAAAGCAAAAAATAATCAAATGTGCCAGACCATGTATTAGTAATGAATATCTGTGGGAGGAGGGGGAGGGCAGGGAGGAACAATGATCTAGATAGATAGATGATGATAACAAATAGGTAGAGAGACAGATGATAGATGATAGGTAGATATTTCTTTTAAAAAAATAGATCATGTACTTGTAGAGACTGGGAAGTTCAAAACCCATGCCACAGGTTGGTAGGCTGAAGAGTTAGTAAGAGGTGATACTGTTGTTTTGAATCCAAAATCCACAGGGAAAGTGAGTAAACTGGAAATAAACTGGAATATAATACACTCATCAGTGTATTATATGTGTACTATCAACTAGAATAACAATAAAAAAAGCACGAGACAGGGTTTCTATGTTTCAATCTCAAGGCAGAACTCCTTTTTTTTTTTTTTAGGAAACTTCAGTCTTTGTTCTCAAGGCCTTCAACTGATTAGATGAGGCCCAAACATATTATGAAAAGTAATCTGCTTTACTTAAAGTCAACTGATTATAAATGTTAATCAATCTATAAAAATATCTTCACAGCAACAACTAAACTAGTGTTTGACTAAACAACTAAGCACCATACCCTAGCCAGGTTAACACAAAAAATTAACCATCAACCATGTGTAGAGATTTAAGGTTAAAATTTCACATAACTGACAGCTCATATTTCCTAAGCTAGTTTCCCTGGAACTAACACGTTTGTTTGTTTGTTTGTTTGTTTGTTTGTTTGTATTTGGGGTTTTTGCAGGAACTAAAAAGAGTTTCAGGGTAAAATGCATTGATAAAATGTTGTGATAAATTCTCTGGAACCTTTATATGGGGAGGTGTATATGGAGTGTTCATGTAGCTCCAGGAATTACAGATACTAATGCTTTGTGTAACATGGTTTGGAAAAAGCTAATGTAGAGAATGATAGGCATCAAAATTTTAGGCAAGTGGAAAATATATTGATTGTTTTAGAAAGATTATTTTGATGAAAAAGTAAAAGTTGAATTGGGAAAGTAAACAATGGGCAGAGAAACAAGAAACCATAGGAGGAAGCAATAAAAATAATTATCAATGTATTCCAACATTCATCAGTGTATTATATGTGTACTATCAACTAGAATAACGATAAAAAAAAGCATAAGCTCAGCTACATAGGCTTCCTGATATAAAAATTTTATGCAGAAATTTGAAATTTCAAATACTAGTCCCAATTTGTCATTGTTGCTATCCACGTTGGCTGCCTCTCTTTAAAGAAGTAAGCCTCTTATGAATCAGGATCCTCACATTTTCTCTCATTCTGTAGAATTTTGGATCAGATGCAATTTACAACAAAGTTAGAAAAGGAGAGGAAGCTCGTATGTATTCACTTGGTCAAAGTATTATTTATCACTTACATTTATGCCAGAAAATCCAGTTGATAGGAACACAAAACTGCCTAAGACAGTCTGTCTCATTCACTGTA